CCCGTTACGAGCCATAATTTTCATTCATTGAACAAAACCAATAGGGTTGTCAGAAACCATAATAGAACTCTTCACTATTCATTGATATCTCTTATTACTGATTGTTATTATTATTATTATTGATCTTATTACTCACAGAAGGTTTTAGTAGTATTGAGTGTAACCTTTTATTATTCCAAACGCGCTGTGGGTGCAACAGAATATTATGTAAACCACAGCATCAAATGTCCCTTTTAATAGGTTGTCCCATAAAAAATTGCCGTTTTTCAAAGTTTTTATTTTCAACACAAAACAAAAAGTAACAACGTAGATCAAACAATATATTTTCCATGATTATCATAGACATTTAACCAACGTTTTGGTAACTTTGCAAGTCCATGCTTGCAAAAAACCGGGTCGGCGTAAAAGAAAGTAACCCTCCAATTCGTCCTCGAGGTCACCTTGGTTGTTGAATTGCTTGCCTCGAAAGAAATCCTTTAGCGACAAATATAAATAGTAATCAGATGAAGCAATATCCGGGCTATAAGCGGCATATGAAAGTACATTCCAGTGCAAGTTGTTTTCCATAAAAGCCTTCGATTTCCTCGATTTGTGGGGATGGACGTTGTCTTCAAGCACAAAACCAATCCATTCATTCTGATAGACCAATCGAAGAATTTTCTGCTCAACTTGTTGCATATGACGTCTATAAACATCACTGTGAAAAGTTTTACCCTTCTGGAGCAGCTCCCAAAAAAGTATGCCAGAGGAAAACCAATCGACACACAGAAATCGTTTATTCCCATGAGTATTTCGTTCTTCCACCACTTTTCCCAATCGACCTTTCTTCAACCATTGTCGTTTCAACGCTCGACCATCATAGAATATCCACGATTGATCATGAGTCATAATATTGAAAAGAGGAAACCGACCGCGTCGATATTCGTTCAGTAGTTGACGGCATGACCGCGCTCTTTGGCCCTTAATCTAATTTTTCAAATGATATGGAATTTGCCGCTGTTTCAACCACTTTCTTCGGGTTTTTTTGAGCCAACGCCATACTGTCATTCTTCAGCAATAGCTTTGTGCCAAAATCCGAGTCGATCCTTCGGGATTTTGCTGAATTCGGCGCCTCAACGTCTGTCGATTCACTTTTCTGAGACGACCGCTTCCTCGCTTTCGTATGAGCCGGTTGTCACGCTTTCGGAACTTCTGAAACCACCATCGTGTAGTCCTTTCCTTGACGATTGTTGGCCCATAAAAGAATTGATTTCTCTCGCTGCTTTGGCCGCGGAAATCCTCTTCAAATATCTTTGATGGATTATTGATGGATTTCTTTACGAGACAGCGCCATGTGATCGATCACAACTTTTTGTTTTTGATTCCTAAAACAGAAAAATTAGCACAGAAAACTAGAATTGGAAAGCAGTATAATAAAAAAAAGAGAAAGAAAAAGCGTTAATTTGTCGCTGAATACGAATCAAATGAAAAAAACGGCAATTTCTTATGGGACAACCTAATATTTTTCCAATCCTTAATTTCTCTGATTACTAATTGTTATTATTATTTACCTTATTACTCACAGAAATTTTGAGTAGCTTTCAGTGCAACCTTTTATTGTTCCACCCCTATGTTGTTGATCCAAACGCGCTGTGGGTTCAACAGGCCATAGGCACTAGCCGCTAGCCTCGCACTAAGTCTTTATTCCACAAATTGATTCTATTTTTTATTTTCAAAAACTAAATTTGGGCTGCTAACGCAGCCCAATAAAAGTCCTGAAATCCTAAACCTGAAGCCTCAAGCCTAAGCGTTTTAAGGCTAAGGCTTTTGGTTGGGTAAAACCCAACCAATAAAAGAGTTATTTGGGTTTGGTCTCAACCCGTTCCAATTACTGATCTAATACAAGTAATGATGGGGCTGAAATGTCCCAACTTGAACAGCTTCTTTGATCCGATAAAAGTACGGAAATCATAGGGCTGAAATGTTCCAATTTCCACCGTCGCCTCGATTCAATAAAAGTACAGAAATCAATTTGCAAGGATCCCCACTAGCCCAAACCCAAATAGCCGCCTTTTTTGGGGGAGGGAGGCCTGAATATTTGAGTGACCTTGAAATATATTGACAATCACTAACGCTTAGTAATCGATCTATTCACTTTCACTTCACAATTTATAATATATCGATCATATAGTGGATGATAGTACGTGACATCAAAAGAACTTTCAGTAACCATGAACCATGAGACTATAGAATATCGACTATATCTCTATAGCCCTTCACTATAGAACGATCATATGGATCATCATAGAATCGGAATTCAAAGGAATTTCGCAAATCATGAATCTCAAACTGACCTCAAACTGGTACGTTGGCTCGAACAGCCTATACTAAATCGAAATCTAACATTAAGTTGAGAATCTCACATGAAAACTGGATGCTACTTCAATTGACCCAGATAACCCAGACAATCAAGGTCACAAAGGGCAAATTTAGTTTTGAAAATCAACTAAAGCTCATGTTAGAAATAGAACCATATTAACACAAGAACCCAAAAAAGGCGGCTATTTGGGTTTGGGCTAGTGGGGATCCTTGCAAATTGATTTCTGTACTTTTATTGAATCGAGGCGACGGTGGAAATTGGAACATTTCAGCCCTATGATTTCCGTACTTTTATCGGATCAAAGAAGCTGTTCAAGTTGGGACATTTCAGCCCCATCATTACTTGTATTAGATCAGTAATTGGAACGGGTTGAGACCAAACCCAAATAACTCTTTTATTGGTTGGGTTTTACCCAACCAAAAGCCTTAGCCTTAAAACGCTTAGGCTTGAGGCTTCAGGTTTAGGATTAGGCTTAGGCTTAGGCTCAGGCTTAGGCTTAGGCTTAGGCTTAGGCTTAGGCTTAGGCTTAGGCTTAGGCTTAGGCTTAGGCTTAGGCTTAGGCTTAGGCTCAGGCTCAGGCTCAGGCTTAGGCTTAGGCTTAGGCTTAGGCTTTCCTCACCTCACTCTCATCCGATAAGACGATATCAGATAAAACAATATCAGAAATTATAAATTCAGACATGTTTTTTGAAAGAAAATTGGTTTAGATTTGAATATAAGAATAGATTTTTAGATAATCTGTTTTGTAGAGATTTTGTAGAGATTTTGGGATATTTTGTAGAGATTTTGTGGATATTCTTGCTTTTCTAACTGATAGAATTGTCAATTTCGTGGTTAGACATAAAATTGAGCATTTTATTTGGTCATTTCTCTAGATTTGGGTCGAGTAATGGTGATTGTTTGAGCAATTTCCACCACTTGGGCACTAGTTTTATAGAAAATGAAATGAAATAGAAATAGAAATGAAATAGAAAATGAAATAGGCAAAGGAAATAGGGAGATTTGCTAGATTTGCTAGAGATTTTCTATCTTTTTTAGATCTCTATATGTTCAGCTGTGCTCATTCTTTGCCTCATTCCCTTTCAGCTTTTATCTATCAATTTCTATGACCATCTCTGGGTTCTATTTGGTAGAGAAACATGGATTTGAGTGGAATTTAGCTGCTTTTATATCTTTTTTGTTTTTTTATCGGGTTTTTTGTCTTTCTCTTTGTCTAGGGTCTGTCTGTCTTTGGTCTAGGGCCCAGATTGGGCTGGTTGAGAGGCCCAGGGTCGGCTCAGGATCCCTCCTTCTAAACGAATATCTCTTAGAACGAATATCTCTCCAGAAATTAGCCCCTCTTCTTCTTCTAAAGCTTTTTCATCAATCTTAATCTACTCTCGCGTCTTTTTACTAGATCATTCCTGTTTTTTAGCTTTTTTTCGGAATTAGAATTTGAGAAAGAGCTTTTGCAAGAGTAATCCAATAAAATAAAGCTTTTGCTTAGGTTTGATTTAATATTCTAAAGATTCTAGAGATTATTTCAAAGATTATATAGTATATCCTAAAGATTATATAATATTCTAAAGATTAGATACGATATTCTAGATTATATTTAATTTTCTGAAGATTAGAGATCATCCAGAGTGATCCAAACCAGTTTTTGGCAACCAATTTTTGGAGAACCTTTTCCAAAAAACTTTCTATAGAAAATAGGATGTATTATATACCATTTGAAAGCTCTAATTCTCAGCATTATTAATACATTAAAGATTTCTTTGCTAAAGCTAATTTTTGACCCTTACAGGCCTTTGGAATCACCTTGCCAGCACTGTCACCAGTTTTTGGCAACTAGTTTTTGGAGAACCTTTTCCAAAAAACTTTCTATAGAAAATAGCATGTACTATATACTATTTAAAAGCTCTAATTCTCAACATTATTAATACATTAAAGATTTCTTTGCTAAAGCTAATTTTTGACCCTTACAGGTCTTTGGAATCACCTTGCCAGCAATGTCACCAGTTTTTGGCAATCAAATTTTGGAGAACCTTTTCCAAAAAACTTTCTATAGAAAATAGGATGTATTATATACCATTTGAAAGCTCTAATTCTCAGCATTATTAATACATTAAAGATTTCTTAGCTAAAGCTAATTTTGAACCCTTAAAGCCCTTTGGAATCGCCTCGCCAGCACTTGTAATTCTTTTGTCCGCTGATCTGTCATTTTTCGTGGTTTTCTGAGTAAAAATTTCGAGAAAAATAGGAAAAACGATTGAATTTGTACATATTTTATCAAACTTAATTGAATTCGATACTTTAAAACCAAAATGGCAATCTAAAAGTGCCTCAATCAGCAGAACCACAAAAATGGCAGATCGCCGTGGGGTGCTCGAACTCATTCCGAAGGCCTGTATGGGTCAAAAATTAGCTTTAGCGAAGAAATCTTTAATGTATTAATAATGCTGAGAATTAGAGCTTTTAAATGGTATATAATACATGCTATTTTCTCTAGAAAGTTTTTTTGGAAAAGGGTTTCCAAAAACTAGTTGCCATAATTTTGAACCACCACAAGACTCTATATTCAAAAGCTAGATATAATATTCTAAAACCTGTCCAGAAAGGATAGTATCATAGCACTTGTACTTTTCGATAGAAATTCTTAATGACTTCTTAACACGAAGCTTTTCATCTCAATCAGGAAACTCAATACCATTCTAAATTGAGGCGTCTTCGTGACGCGAACTGTGCTCGCCTCGCAGACTCTAAAAAGTTCAACTTTTAAATGTTTTTGAATTCTTTATACCTTTATGGCTATTGATTTAAATTTTAGATTGTTTAAAAACCTTGGAATCGATGGTGGTTTATCCAATCGACAATATTCGATCATCGCTCCTTCTTCCGGCTCGTCGACCTCACCTCCATAGTGAGAGTACTGAAAATGGTTGTAAGATATGATTACAGTACTTTTGACTACAGTAATATCTCTAGCAGCTACAGCAGGAGCTACAGGAGCAGCAGCTACAGGAGCAGCAGCAGCAGCAGCTACAGGAGCAGCGACAGCGGCAGCTACAGGAGCAGCAGCAGCAGCAGCTACAGGAGCAGCGGCAGCAGCTACAGGAGCAGCAGCAGCAGCAGCTACAGGAGCAGCGACAGCAGCAGCTACAGGAGCAGGAGCTACAGGAGCAGCAGGAGCTACAGGAGCAGCAGCAGGAGCAGTAGCTACAGCAGCAGCAGGAGTTACAGGAGCAGCAGCAGTAGCAGGAGCTACAGGAGCAGCAGGAGCTACAGGAACAGCAGCAGGAGCTACAGCAGCTACAGGGGCAACAGCAGGAGCTACAGCAGCTACAGTACCCTATATCAATTTAAAACAAACCTCCGGATCATCAGTAACATCCTCGATTTTGAACGTGTGATTGTTATTGCGTTGACCGCCTGAATTTCGGCCATACGGAACCGCGGCGAGCATATTTGTAGAAGGAGTTGTTGATGGGTGATCCTAGAAGTTACAAATAATATATATCATAATAAAATCAAATAAAGTTTTAGGTACAAATTTAGTATAGCATAAAGTGTGTTCCTTTCGGTTAAAGTTGAACAATTAAAGTTGTTGAACGAGTTGAACGATCGATTAATGCGTGCTTTTCCTAAAACAAGCCATCGCATTGGCCAGCTATTCAGCTAAAAACTACGATACTTTTTCTAGACGGGATTACGGTACTTTCGAGTTGGGAGATGGGAGATGAGATTACGGTACTTTCTAGACGAAATTACAGTACTTTCTAGATGGGATTACGGTACTTTTTCTTGGAGAAGTCTTTTAGAAAACGTATTTATCACGAGGAACACACTCTACTACAGAAAATCAAATAGCAAAACAGGAAATAATGTTTTTTGCTTTATAAGAAATGAGTTTAAAAGCTGTTTATGAAAAGAAAGATAAAAGTTAGATTGAAATTCGTAGAGAATGCTGTATCAGCAGTGTTGAGTGAAAGCAGTGAAATATCTATCATTTTCAGTTCAATTTCCATGATCACAATGGAGCCATTAACAGATGATGAATGGGATGATGCGGATATGGATGATTCCGATTTAAAAGAACTGCTCAAAAGGAAACAACAACTCGAACAACAATTGCAACAATGTAAGATAAATGCTATTTTCCGCGAAACAGAATTCAGGCGGTCAAAACGGTTTGGAGAACGGAGATGAGGATGAGAGTTTAAATGGGTGAGTTGTTGAAGTTTGAAGCCTTGTCCTGGATGAGTATTGAGCCAACAAGACTGAAGATTTTCAAAGTTTTCAAAGATGATACTCACAAGGAAAGGATGATTGGGTCTTGTGGCCTTTTCCATTCGAAGCAGAATTTTACTTATGATATATAAGCCATTCGAAGCAGAATCGTGTAAAAGCGTTGGAATCAGGGTAAAATTCTGCGTCGAATCGTCTAATGGTCGAATGGTCGAATGTTATATGTTCCGATCTAGAAATCTGTCGGATCTAGGATGTAGTGAGATCAAACGTTCGATCGAATCAAGCCGATCACTCTAAAACAGACATCCAGACTTACTAGGGAACGACCAGAGCAGAGTGGCGGCTCGGTGGGACAATGGTAGTGCCCCCACTTTTGCCAGTCGGATTCGACCCCCACGTGCGTCTTTGTTTTTGCTATTTTTTTGTTCTAAAAGTGGCAACCAGGCACACTACAACTGTCCCACCGAGCCGCCACTCTGCCCTGACAAAGGTGAGTAGCGGAGTAGCGGCTTGGTGGGACAGTGGTAGTGCGCCTGGTTCCCACTTGTCCCACTTGTCCCACTGTCCCACTACCACTGTCCCACTGCTCTGACAAAGGCAGCCCTTATATACCATGAGTGCTGCTTGCACTAGGTGGTCAAATTTCAAATGCGTTTTTACAGAAATCTAGAGCATTTGGAGAAAAACTAAAAACGCCATCGTGTTGCCCGTTTCCGACTTGGGTAAGTCATTTAGCTTTGGTTGGGATTGGCGAAATCTGGTCGTAGTAAGTCTGGTGGGATGTCTGTTTTATAGTGATCGGCTTGATTCTAGATTGAACGTTTGACCTCACTACACTCTAGATCGAACGTCGGACCCAGAATCAGTTTAGATGGTCGAATGGTCTATATATCATCGGAAAAGGCCACAGAACGGATTTCTAGATCGGACAGATTTCTGGATCGGACGGTTTTCTAGATCGAACGGTTTTCTAGATCGAACGGATTTCTAGATCGAACGGATTTCTAGATCGGACGGATTTCTAGATCGGATGGATTTCTAGATCGGACGGATTTCTAGATCGGACAGATTTCTGAATCGGACGATTTTCTAGATCGGACGGATTTCTAGATCGGACGGGTTCCTAGATCGGACAGATTTCTAGATCGAACGTAACATCTATATCATCGGAAAAAAACCACAGGATCCATCCTTCCCTTGTGAGTCTAATGCTTCCAGCATCGAAACTCTAGAAGTAAATCAGATGCTACACAAGGCAGGAATTCAACTATCATTAATTCAAACATCATTAATTCAAATATCATTCTAAAGAAACGAATTTAGATGCCTATAAGGCAAATGAGAAGAAAGAAATGATATAAGACAAATTCGTACGTGAAAAATCGGCCGGAAACTTTGTCCTGATTAGGAGTAAAAATGGTTTTTTTTTGTGCCGAACTCAAGGCGCCACCCGGGCGCTCAGATCTCTCAGTTCAGACTGTGCTCTCACTTAAAACTAGGTTTTTTCGGAAATTGAAAATCTGGGATATCCGAAGCCGGATGAAAAATAAAATGAAATGAGAACTTTTTCCCAATTCGTCTAATTTGATGAGGAAGCAAAAAAAAGCAAAGATTTTACAAGGGTTTACAAATTAAAATACGCTACAGTAATCAAATTTAACTTTTCTCTAAATAACTAAAAATCTATTAGGTTGGCAAGTTATAAATGTCTGAAAAAGTTCTAAAATAAAACATTTTTCAAAAATTCAACAAAAGCCATTTTGTAGATTAAGGATAGGGCTTTTGAGTCAAGCAAACCGTTTTTGATTGGATAAGCCCTGTTTTTCAGAAAACACATTACCAAAAAACGATCGTTTATAACTTTGCCAACCTAATAACTCAAATCCTAAGCTTTTATTTGTTAAAACAAAAAAAAAACCAACAAGAAATCCATTGAAAAGTCCTTGAGTTTATCACTAAAAAATGACCGGAGGCATGGGAAAATATTGAGAAAAGTTTTTTCAACAAAAACAATCAGAGAAATCAGAGAAATTGATCCAAGGTCAGAATTGGGAAAAGAAAAAAATCGAAAAGAAAAACGTGAGTCTTTTTTGAAAAAAAAATGGAAAAAAGTGATCAAAATGAAATTGGAAATCAATCAAATGAAAGAGAAAAAAGTTCAAAGAGAGAAAAGTTATGAAAGTTTTGAGAGGATTTGCTCAATGAATTTGCAGAAAAATAAAGAATTGAGTACACTAGAAAGGTGCGTTTACAATACAAAGTACAAGTAACAGTACAAGAACAGTACAAAGTACAAGTAACAAATAAGATTTTAAAGTCTAAAAGATCTAAGAGAATTGTTAATCCAAAAGATCTAAAAAATCTAAAAGAGCTTTTGTTTGAGAGATTTTGTCTAAAAGATAAAAACCAAGGTTTAGATATTTATAATCTGTAAAATTACTGATAAATGTTCTTAAAGTACAGTTCTTAAAGTACAGTTCTTAAAGTACAGTTCTTACAGTACAGTTCTTACAGTACAGTTCTTAAAGTACAGTTCTTAAAGTACAGTTCTTAAAGTACAGGTCTTACAGTACAGGTCTTACAGTAGGGCTCTTAAAGTACAGTTCTTAAAGTACAGTTCTTAAAGTACAGGTCTTACAGTACAGGTCTTACAGTACAGTTCTTACAGTACAGTTCTTACAGTACAATCCTTACAGTACAATCCTTACAGTACAATCCTTACAGTACCAGTTTAAATTCAAAAAATCCAAACAAATCTTTAGTTATCCAGGAATTTCTCGAAATTTCCTTAAACTGGCCTCTTTTCTAATGAAAGAGCAGTAAGAAAGCTCATTAGTTTAGGGAAAAAAAGAGAAAACGAGAAAAAAAGAAGCCGTTCAGTCCACTCAAAATAATCCTATCAGAACAGAAGAACGGAAAAAAAGCCAGTTAGTGAAAAAATGATGAAGAAATGAAGAATGACGTAAAAGAACATTAAAGGATACAAATTGACATTCAGAAATTGTTAAAACTCTTTCAGCTTTAGCAATTTTTAAATACCAATTTGTCATTTGTACTTACAGGAGTTCTAGCTCAAAAAATCAAATGTTTAAGTCATTTTTCAGCTATTCACCAATGCTGGGATTTGTGTACTTTGTGTACTAAGAAATTTGTGTACTAATAAATGGACTTTGTGTACTAAGAATCGCTAGTGTACTAAGAAATGGACGTTTAAATTAGCACAAACAAGATAATGCGCGCCTTCTGGCATGCAGAATTTGGAGCTATTTGTGCGCTAGAGCGCTAGAGGGGCGAGTGGGGAAGACCGAGGGGCGGGTGGGGGAGACCCGAGGGGCGGGTGGGGAAGACCGAGGGGCGGGTTGGGGAGACCCGAGGGGCGGGTTGGGGGAAGACCCGAGGGGCGGGTGGGGAAGACCGAGGGGCGGGTGGGGAAGACCGAGGGGCGGGTGGGGGAAGACCGAGGGGCGGGTGGGGAAGACCGAGGGGCGGGTGGGGAAGACCGAGGGGCGGGTGGGGAAGACCGAGGGGCGGGTGGGCGCATCTTTACGAGGCAAAAAGTGCCTAAAAGTTTGGAAACATGTCGGTAACTTGAAAAAAAAAACAGCATTTCCATTATTTTTTTGGTGAATGGTGGTCAAATGGGGGAACCTCAGACGAAAAAAAGACAAAAATAGGGATCGCGAAGAGAGATTAGTCTGTAAGGACGAAATTTCCCTTTTTTTCCAAAATTTTCGTCTTTACATCTCTTACTGTGAATTTTATGTCGTCAAAGTGATTAAAAGGGTCTGAAAAGTGCCTTAAAAGGGATTTTTAAAATTCAAAGCCTTGTTAACATATTCGCGTCGAAGCCATTTTTCGCTTAATTGGACATTCAGAGGACAGAGTTCAGATCAAAACTTGTGCGCAAACGAGACTCGAACCGGCTACCTTTCGCTTGACAGGGGCAACTGTGCTAACCATTACACACCACAATGCATTTGATCTCAACGCACTTGATCTCGCACTAACTCTCTCTCTCCGCCAGAGAGAGTTAACTGGACGACAGAGTTCTACGCTAGCTGTAGATCTGAAAATTTTTACCCAGAAGTTTTTTGGGGGTGCGGAATTGGGGTCGAATTCAAATTCGGTTTTATTTTTCAATTACAGTAACCCCAAAGGCCGGAAATAGCAATAGCGCGTAATTTAGCTGAAAAATGTGTTAGAAAAAGCTAAAAAATAGGTTTAAAAAGCTGAAAACGTGCACCC